GAAAACAGTGGTAAGGCCAGTGGTGACGGTCAACAGAAAGTTTCTCCCCATAATCACCCTGCAGCCATGATCCAAACCCAAGCTTGCGCACAGGTGAGCACACTCACACATTAATACAGACATCGCACCCCCAGTAACGCCCAGGGAATTTCCCTTGCGGTAATGTTGAGTGGCTCAATAGCGCGATATGCGGTATTACCGCCATTTATTTATTTAATTAATTTATATGTTTTTGTTGCTATATAAATAATGTTTACGATGTGGACAAAAACGAGGACATTTTCAGTAACCAATGTAACCGAAAACAGCATCTACAGCAGTGGCGGCTGCTGGTCTTTCAAAGAGGGGAAGCTCTTTTTTCTTCTTCTTTTTTTTTTTTAAACTCGACTGTCAGGTGTGGGGATGGTGAAAAGAGCGAGGACTCGATGCAGAGTTGATGGGCTTTTTTGATAAAAAAACAAAAAACAAACAAGGGGAATAAATTGGGAGCAAAAAAGGCAGGTAACGAGGGAGGACAGGTGGGGTAATAATTTATATAAAATAACTAATAATCAGGAAACAAGATGGGAGTCGACACAATGACAGGAAAGCACATATGGCACAACAAACACATGACAAGCACAAGCCATGTGCTCATACCAAACATGACAAAAACACATGACCAATAAAACAAATTAAAAAGCAAATGTGCTCACACAAAATGAGACCTGAAGAACGATGAGAACACTCATAAGACACGTGTTCACACAGAACATGACAACATGAAAGCACACAGCTAGTTTAAAACACAAGCTGTGTGCTACACAGCACAAGACAAAACATGACATGAAAGCACGCGGCCGACGTAAACACAAACCATGTGCCACACAATACACAACACACTGAACAGAGCCAACACGACAAGACGGAACGCTAACGTTACGCATGAGTACGACCATAAGGTCATCCTGTGCACTCACAACCGAAAACAAACACGCGGAGAATGCATGTCCGAATCCCAACACAAAAGTGAAACCAAACTAAACAGATGTGCCGTGATTCAAACACCACGCCCGCACATGTAGCAAGACACCTGACATCGACGGAAGAAATGTGGGAATTAGGTTGAACTGTGAAATATCTGATGAAAATTGCAAATACTAAGAAATATGTTACAGCAGTTCGTCTTTCGAGTAAAATACACACAAAATTCGCGACGAGACTGAGCACGAAGTCTTTAAACTAGCGTCTGCGTCAGCGATTTTTTTATTGGGTGAAATTGCTGTCAATCAAAAGGAGATGCAATCCTCCAATCATCACGCGGACGCCCGGACGCCAGGCCAGCCCACTTCCCTATTAACCCCAGAGACGCCCGGCGTCCGTGGGCGGGACATAATCGCAGCATTTATCCAATGACCGTCTAGTTTAACAGCACTGAAAAAAACTGTTCAAAGCAGCCCCATTCGCCTTATTCACTTGGCGGCCATTTTGAAAATGGAACGCCGCTGAGGGGTACACTCACCCGGAAGGATGCATTCGCAGCAGCACCAGCAATGAAAACTCGCAATGCGGACCACCAATCATTCCTGTCTGCCCGAATTAACGATGCAAAATGTGAAGCAAAGTGCCAGTGACTGAAACATCCCCCGGGCTGTGTTAATTAAGGGATACAGTACCTGTATCGGAGGTTTTATCCACGACATTGAACGTAGGAATGGACGCCAATTTGCCAGTTTCTGCGAGCTTGCAGCAGCCAAAGGTAACTTAACGTTAGTAAGCTAAGCTGTAATTTGGAGTTGTTGACTGTGTATATTACTATGCTAGATTTTATTTAACAGTTAACATGTCTTTAATCGACAGTTAATAGGAGCCCATCACATATTTGTGAGGGCTATAGGTATTTTCCCTCAGTGCTGAAAAATGAGGCACCACAACATACAGGAGCTAAGAGTTCATTGTGACTTCATATCAACAATGTACCTTTCCCTGTCTGACTGAAAATAACATATTGATTTGATCTCATTAACATGTTATCTGTAGTTAATGTAATATCACATAATTGATATCTACTAAAATATTATTGTTTAAAATTAGCAAAGCCAGACAGGACTAGGTGCATGTTGCAATTGCTTGTTGACAATGATAGTGTAATGAGAAGTATAACTATCAAGCATCACAGCTGTAAACAACCTACCATTACCAGCATGTACCTGTTATATTTTCATGGCCAGTATTTTAATTTAAATGCCAGATGTACCTAATTCTTAGCGGCACAATCGTGTGTGTCAATTATATATATAATAGCAACTTTGAAGTGTCAAGTATCTAAAGTTTGATTATGTTTTTAGGTGGAGCTGTCACTTGAGCAGTCATTTATAAGGGAGATGCAGTGCAACTGCAAAGCTGGCTTGGGACAGTGCAACCATCTCATCAGGCTGCTCTACACTCTCGCTTACTTTGCCAAGATGGGCTACACATCTGTCCCCCCAACAACGAGCAAGACATCACTGATAATCTGTTTATGTATTTAGTTCTCTTTTGTTAATGTTTTTAAATGGTTTGTTCCTAATGCAATTTCCAATGTTCTGAGCTTTTCCGGTTGTTTTTCCATACTTCTATGTACAAGGTTACCTTTACAAACCTAGACTATTCTGCCTATCATTGTTTTTTGAACGGCCAGTTGATTTGAATTGTTTTCTGATGTTCTGGTTCCTTTTCCAAGCTTACAGTACAGGCAGGCCATTTTACATTATTCCCCTGTACCAACTTCTATATACAAAGTTACTTTTACAAACCTTTACCAGTGTGCCTATTAATGTTTTTTTTTATGTTTTCTTATACTTGTTCTGGTTCCGGTATATTAAATTATAAAGTTATGAAGGAAATCATCCATGTGTAATACAATTGTACTTTATTGTTTAGATAGATACACATCCAGTAGCTCATACACACACATGCATGTAAAACAATCAAATCACTCACAGGTATGTAAAAGGAAAGAGGAGAAGTGATTTTAAGGTCTGACAAGGACTGATCCTGTTACACACTGACAATGATAAGCTGCTATGGTGACAATACAAGTTCACATATATGTATTCATAAAGAATAAAAATAATGATGGTTATGGATTTGTATAGATTCTAATAGTACACAGTCAACTTCCTACAAGCTTGCAGAAACTGAGGTAAATTGGCGTCCATTCTTACGTTCAATGTCGTGGATAAAACCTCCGATACAGGTACTGTATCCCTTAATTAACACAGCCCGGGGGATGTTTCAGTCACTGGCACTTTGCTTCACATTTTGCATCGTTAATTCGGGCAGACAGGAATGATTGGTGGTCCGCATTGCGAGTTTTTATTGCTGGTGCTGCTGCGTCGCATGCATCCTTCCGGGTGAGTGTACCCCTCAGCGGCGTTCCATTTTCAAAATGGCCGTCAAGTGAATAAGGCGAATTGAAGTCAATGGACGCCGAGCTTCAACGGGGAAATGCCATAGGAAATGCACTGTGACGCGCTACAGGTATGCATGAGAAGGAGATCAAGTCAGCCGACCTACTATTTGTTGCTTATTCTGAACGAACTCGTCTTCGAGATTACCGTGTTCTAACGCATTTTTACTCATTAAAATGTTAACACAATAGTACACATTTGATCATTATTTGTTTGACATTATAGGGGAAGCTGAGCTTCCCTTGCAGTCAAGTGCCATCTACCATAATAAATCAAATCCTACTCCATATTCCATAACAGATGGGGGCAGTATACCTCCAAAAAATGACTTGTGCTCCTACCATTGCGCATGTTATTCAAATCATTTGTCACGATAGTAAAAGGTCGGAAGACCGCAGTTTCACGTGGAGCATTTGGAGATTTTTAGAGATCAGAGACTCAATGAACTAAACACTAGAGTGAACTAAACTAAACACTATGAATCTCAACACTAAATGATGAAGACCGCCTCATAGATCTCAAAAACAAGCTGGTGCATTTCGACGGTATGGGAAAATAAAAGCTTGGGCAATTATTTGAAGTTTATGGTATTCGTTTTGTTCATATTACACTTTTATTGTTAGTGAATTAATTTGACAGACAGCATTCGCTGATGTTGATCAAGCTAGCGCCGTGAATTCACCGTGAGACACACGCAATTGACACTTAGCAAGCAGGTTAGTTAAGCTCTCAGATTCTGTCAATTATATTACGCAATTCAAAAAATAAATACCGTTTTGGCGCTTGTACATGTTACACTACAGATCCCTAGCGCACGTGAACCGATCGTCTCTACTAGCTGGAAAAAGAACATGAACTCTGTTGAAAGATACAGTATGCTACAACTTACCAAAATGTATTCCTCATGCATAATGTCGACCAATCATTTTTTGAACTCTTCCCTGAACTGAAATGTAGTAGTGGGCTGTATTTCCACACGACTGACATCAGGTTCAAGTACACACACAAGCCGGCGCGAGCGCGACTCACTCGCGTATTGCAGTTTGGCTGGTGCTAACGTTGCCCGTCCGCATACCGCCTCCCATGGCCGGAACTGGTATAACGATACCTGCCGGGCCGGGGCTAGTAATTTAGCATGCTAATTCAGGTTAATATCTCGGCAGCACTATAACTTGTCAGTTTTTTAATGACATCTTTGCACTTATTTCTTCTCATTCTTTTGATGCGTGTAGCTCATTTTTCGTATATTGTTACCTCAATTATTGTATATGGCACCTTTAAAGAAATCTCCACTGGTCTACAGCATTGAAAGACTTTCACTCAGCGCGCATATTGTTATGACAACGGACTTCGAGCGAGTCATTGAACCGTTCATTCAACGAACACGTTTAAAAAAGATGATTCAACAAGATGTTAATCATTTTTAACTTTGAGATTCAACTTTTCAAGGCTCAGCTGAGCAGCAATGCGTCGCATAGGCAACGCTGAAGCTGATGCTTCACTTATTAGAGACCCATTGATTCAATGCGTGACTCACTGATTTTATTTCGGCTTCCTTGTGTTGTGGGATGCTGACCAGCGCTGCTGCAGACGCGCATTTATGGGAAAATACCCGTGAAGAGAACGTTAAAATGATGATGCGGCAAATTTTTCGCTTCCTTTTGACACGACAAGCTTTTCACGACTTCAAAGACAGACGCAGGTAATTGCACGCGCTCTGCCGATCTCTCTCACTCACTGTCTGTGTGAAGCCTCCAAATTTACATTAAAGTGGCACACAATTGAGTAATATATTTAAATGGACTATTTTTCACGTAAAAAAGGGATAGTTCACCCAAATATTTTTTTTCTTTGGGTAAACTATCCTTTAGGATAGACATCATTAAGTTAATCAGCTGTGCCATGTCCCACTCTGAAATGTTAATGCAGCACCTGTTTGCTCATTATTTGTCATTATGTCTTTGATTATAAAAGGCATCCACAAAGTTAACAATTGTAGCAAGATGGAGAATATGTTACTTACACTATCAGACTCCCAGGGAGCAATCACATTAACCGTAAGCAAAGAAATTGCTGAGAGAATAAAGAATGGTAAGTAAAAAATATATAAAATTGGTTGCTTGATGATGTAAAAATAATGAATTTTATTTTTATTGATTGAAAATCCTTTTTATAGACAAAACATATGCAGCATATGCAACAAGTGAGATCTGCAACACAGAATCAAGGTAAGGCATTTTTCTTTTATTCATAATAACATTTAAAATAATCATGGGGATTTTTTTTATTATTGTGTTCTCTTTAGCAGATACTACCCACTGTCCAGCATCTTTGTCCCAGTGTGGCCCTTCTGTTACTCAAGTCAAGTCAAGTCACATTTATTTATATACCGCTTTTCACAATACAGATTGTATCAAAGCAGCTTCACAGTGATAACATGAAAGTAGTACAACACTGATCAATAATATTGTTAAATATTAAATAACCCCAACTGAGCAAGCCAAAGCAAGCCAAAAGCAAGGCGACAGTGGCAAGGAACCAAAACTCCATCAGATTGGATGGAGAAAAAACCTTGGGAGAACCCAGGCTCAGTCGGGGGCCAGTTCTCCTCTGGCTTACATTCATATTGTTTATATATAAATATTAAATATAAATATTGTTTATGTATAAAACGGCGCCATAACATATCGCAGGTGTTGAGTCGTCTCTTCACAGGCGCTGGTCCTCTCATCACAGGCGTTGGGGAATCCGAAATCCCCGTGAGAGGCTGGATACAAAACTGGACCTGTCGAACGCCATAACAGCAGAAAGGCAGATGGGAAATAATTAGCAGAGCTGATGTTCATAATGATTTCCATTATACGGAGTCGGTGTTAGAAAACCACTATCTCACAAACTCTCCGCAACCCAACCATACGCGCCGACCCGTTTGTCTAAAAGGCTGTCGAGCTCCACTGGTGCATTAAGCAGTTTCAGTGGCAAATGGTTCCGTATGGCATAACAGAGGACTAAAAGGTAAGCATTATGTGAATGCTTGACTAAAGAGATGCGTCTTTAATCTAGTTTTAATCTGTCTCAACTTCCCCCTTCCCGCCCAGCATCTCTGTCCCAGTTTGGCCCTTCTGTTACTCTGTCTCAGTGTCCCCCTCCAGCGATTGATAATCCAGTATCCCTTGTCAAGTGCCCTGTTGAAACTAGGAAAATAAATGTCACACAAACACACAATCCCCTTCCATGCAGTCAGAATTTCAAGAAACCCAACAAAGTATCAACTGTTTCTAATATGTATAAAGTTAACTATGTATAAATTCTATCTCTCACAATTTTAAACTACTGTTTTCATAGAATTCACACACAGGACCACGCTGCTGCTGCTTGACCTCACACAAATGCATCTGCATTTGTACTACAGAAATAAAATTGCATTTTACAAAAAGCTGGAGCGAGCCTTCAAAGAAAAAGGCTACAATATCACCAATGAAAAATTGCGCAAAAATCTTGGCAACATGATCACGACTTACAAAAGGGCTAAAGACCGGTGTCGATCAACAGGAGAGGGAAACGTTACATGGGAGTATTACAAGGTTGGTGTGCTTTTTGTATTGAAATTACTGCAAATCACTGGGTTAACATAAAAAATTATTTCTAAAGCATCTCTATTTACATTGTTTTACATGTTTTCTCAAAGGAAATGGATGACTTATTTGGCAAATCTGGAGTTGGGAGTGCACCATCAGGCACAATCTGCTCAACTCCTCTGTTCAGCACAACCTCATCCCAGACCAAGTCCTCAATTGCACAGGCTCCCAAGAACAGCCGCTCCCAGAAGAACAACCAGGTCCCTCCACTGCTATGCCCTCCAAAGAAGTGCACAGAAGGAGACAAACATCCACATTCTGTGAAGTATATGAAACGCATTCAGAGAGGAGAACAGCTGCTCTTGAATCACTAGTGCGGCCTGATTTGGAGCGCTGAAGAAGGCTTAAAGAGAGGTGGAGAAGAATGTCTGAAAAAAAATCTCTTACCTGCCTTGGAGAAATCCTTGAACAACTAAAAAAATCAGCAAATCCCAGGAAATGATAAATGATCTATTAAAAAATAAAGTTTAACTATAAAGTTTAACATTTCCATGTGTATCATCATTTTATTGCTCATCACATCATTATTATAGAGAACACAAAACATTCCTCCCTAGACAGGGGACAGTGGTTGACTAGCAGAATATGTCAATCATTAGATAGTAAGTGCTTATAATAATCCTGTAAAAATCCCATCTACCTGTTCACAAAACAGTCAAATCAAAAAGCTTTTTAAGAAAAGTTTAAATAAGTTGTTATGGAGGGAATTGTTGAAGGTGGTACAAGTGAATGTAATGTTCACAGGCGGCCACAGATTGCATCTCTATGATGTGATGCATCATTGTGAATGTGGGCTTCTGGTGGGTATGGGTCATCCTCCATAACATCTGCCTGCTGATCCTCCTCATGGAGGATGCAACAGGCTGTGACTGCAGAAGAAATGTTCTTTACTTTTTTCATGTGCAGACATCTGAGTCTCCTAAATTTTGATTTTAAAATTCCAAATGCATGCTCAATAACTACACGCGCAGAATTCAATTTCCTATGGAAGTGTCTCTGCCTTACAGTCAAGTGGCCATTGTCTCTGTATGGCTTCATTAGCTGAAGCGAGAGAGGGTATGCAGAATCTCCAATTATGTGCATGCCCTCAGGAACCAGGGAATGTGGATCTTTCTCGAGAAGGCAGCCAGTTTGTCAACATACCTCCACATGCAAGGCAAGGCAAGTTTATTTATATAGCACATTTCATACACAGTGGCAATTCAAAGTGCTTTACATGGAAGAAATTAAAATAATCAAAAGAAATCAGAATAATTAAAACAGTTTAGAATAAAAAAAATCATAATAATAAAAATAAAATACAGTATCAAAAATAGAATGAAGTACAGTAACAGTCGGCACAGTGCTCATTCAGTAAATGCAATCAATATAAATAAAAACAGTTAAGAGTAAAAATAAAATAAAGTAATACCCCTATCTGAGATGGAAGAGATTGAGCTGGTTTACCGTGCTACTGGGCCTCCAGCCCAGGGACTTCTTATACTCTCGGCAGTAACTTACTTCTTTACTCGCCTCATCGGAGTGAAGACTCTCCCGCTCTCCATCAAAATCTCTTCCAGTATACCCCAATCTGAGATGGAAGAGATTGAGTTGGTGCCCTTTAGAAAGTCTGAAATGACTTTGAAACTCAGAAGGACTGTACAAATGGACCACATTCTCAACAAAGTGAGGAATTTTAGGGACATTCCTAGGACAGAAAAAACATTTCTTATGACCTCTCTCTCGAAAGCAACTTGTTTATTGGGTTTGTTTACGTTTTAATGAAATCTATTAAACCTTTATTTTATTAAGTGCTGAATTATCTGCAGTCTGGACTGTTTACTTTCATTAGATCTATTCAAGTTGCAACATACCAAGACCAGATATATTTATATCCCTACTATTTACTGTTTACTGGATTTATATCCCTACTATTTACTGATTTCACCTTCGGTGATTCTCCTCATCATAACCATCTTCGTGCAAAAGCAGTGGTATTTCAATTGAATCCACTTCGACTGCGATAAAGAACGCGAACGCGATCTCTTCCATTCTCTGACGTTTGCAGTCAACAACACAGCGAGATTCAGGAAGTGTCCCCCTTGCCTGCACTTTTTCTCTCCTCCCCTCACTGCAGCCGCCTACTCTCGGCTATAAGACGCTGCAGAAAGCGCAGTGGGATATTCTCTGAATGTGCCGATTGTCTGAAGCCTAATAGAATCACGCCAATTCATTGGCTGATGGCGCTCGCGCAATCTGGCCCCGCCCAGACGCAATCACGTCGCATAATCATATACGCACGTGCTCCATCTTCTCCTCAGATTTCTCTGCCGAAAAGAAGACGCAGCGTCTCGTTCACTATTCAGAGAACATAGGTTACGTAAGTAACCAGAGACGTTCTCTTTCATAGGTTCACTCAACGCTGCGGAAAGCGCAGTGGGAACAGGATACCAAACTCGGCAAGCAAAGAGCGTTGTAATGACTGGTATCAATAAGATAATGACTATAAAAGGTTCAAACAGAAAGAACCTGGGAACCCGGAGTCATATCAAGATCCAAATTGTAGAAACGTACAAAAGTGTGCAGAGAGGACCAGCCGGCCACAACACAAATGTCCTCCAAGAGAACTACTCTAGAAAGAGCTAAAGAGGATGCCACACTCCTAGTGGAATGTGCTCTAATGCTAAGAGGCGAAGGCAAACCACGCACCATAAGCCATAGAGATCGTAAGCCATAGAGATCGCTTCTGTGACCCAGTGAGAAATCCTCTGTTTTGACGCAGCAAGCCCACGGCGGCTAGCACCAAAACAAACCAGAAGCTGGTTGGATTTTCTCCAACTGCTGGAGCTGGACCGAACTGGGCAGAGCAGATTAAGCTTCCTATCCACCTCAGAAGAAAAAGGAGGAGGGTGGAAAGCGTTAGGGCTAACAACCTGAGAGCGGAGCGCTGTGGAGAGTTCTCTTAGGAACATAGCCTGGCCTAGGTCTCAAGGAAACTTGACTAAACCGGGAGCGAAGTCCAAGCATGACTCGCTAAAGTCCAAGCATGACTTGAGCTTGTAAGTCCCCTACCCGCTTCAAAGAAGATAAAGCCAACAAAAGTGAAACCTTAAGAGTCAGAATCCGATCCGGAGCTGACTCCAAGGTTTCGAAGGGGGCCTCCTTTAAACTCTCCAAGACGACAGAAAGGTCCCATGAGGGAACTCTAGGGGAGCAGTTCAGGCGCTCCCCGCCTGAAACCAATTCGGTTTCAGGCGCCTAACCCCACGCATGAAGGCCGAAACTAACCTCAGTTTACCCAAGGGAATCTCGTCTGATTCTCTATGTGCTGCAATGGCTGCAACGTAGACACTGAGGGTGGTAGCAGCCGCCCCGGAGGTAAACCTCTCCTGCAGGAATTCTAATACTGAAGCGACAGGGCAGTTAACTGGGTTCCTATCATGTGCCAAGCACCATGACACGAAAACCTTCCATTTGGAAGAATACAGTCTCCTTGAAGAAAGGGCTCTAGCACTACCGATGGTCTCTTGAATGTCAGTTGGGAAAGCAGATCCTCTCTGACTGGAATCCTCCAGGGGGACGATTCCAGCAGAGGAATCAACTCCGAAAACCATGGCTGAGACGGCCAGAACGGGGCTACTAGAAGAAGGCAGACTCCGCTCTCCCTCACTCTGGCCAGGACCGCCTGGATCAGTTTGACGGGCGGAAAGGCATAGAGTTTCTGCATTGGCCAAGTGTGGGCGAATGCATCTATCCCCAACGGAGCTGGAGGATTCAGGGAGAACCAGAGCGGGCATTGGGATGACT